ACGTTAACGTACGTACTACGTACTACTACGTACGTACGTACGTACGTACGTACGTACGTACGTACACTCACACTACACTCTCTCTCTCTCTCTCTCTCTCTCTCTCTCTCTCTCTCTCTCAGATTGGGCAGGAGGCTGACCAGCTGCAAAATCATAGATTTGAAGCAGTCCAGTAAATTATTCCTGTAACAGTAATTTTTACCTTAGCAAGCATTATTAAGATTCATCAGTTTAAACCTCCATTAAGAAACATCTCACTAACCTGAGCAGCTCTCCGAAAATTATCTCCATCGACTCATTTGTACTGATTATCACTTTTGCCAAATTCTGGTAACGAGCTAGGTTTCTCAGAGTAGAGAGAGAACGCTCCCGTACTGCTTGATTTGGAGGGCTACGGTTAATTGAACGAATGAGCTGCAATAATGCTTGAACGGCCCCTTGTTCCACAAGTACCTCGCAACACTTCTGTGAATGTTGTGTTGCAATATCTGCACAGGGAGACAAATGCAAGATGCCAAAATGAGAGAGAGAGCGAGAGAGAGAATTCACATAAAATTACACTGGTAGGACATTCAGTTACTTACAAATGGCGAAAACAAATGCAATGCACAAGGGCTGGCGTTAAAATAACATTCCACATCCTACTCTCATTACAGAATACAAAAGTATACTTAGACGTAGTAAAAACAAAGTCATTGAGCTTTTGAGCCCATGTTCGCTAAACGGGCAAGTAGATTCCTTACCTAAAGTTGAACATATATGAAGAATGCTACTGACTTTTTTGCTGTTAAATAATTCTGCAAGAGCATCAATAAGACGATTAATAAGGCGCATCCCGTCATCCACATTTGCTGCTGACTTTTGCATCCGAGACCGCAAATCAAGTAATTGCTCACTTGACTCAGGACGCCTTTTCCTCGCCAAGTACCCCTTCCAGTAAGACTGCAAGAAAAACCAAGAAAAATAAAATGCATTGCACAAAAGGCGTTACAAAATTGGCAACTGAATCGCAAAAGTAAAATGGTTGAAAAATCAATTTAAGTCAACAGTTAAATGAGGATTAGAGATTCACTCTGGTAAGTGCAGCAATCAATATAACACAAACATCATTGCCATGTTATGCACATGTAGTGTAGGTAGTAGCATTGAACAAGGGAACAGAGATTTTGTGAAAGAACGAACCTAAAATAGCTGACTGAAGCAAAATTGTTGATCAAGACTCGATCACTTACATGATTCAAATTTCAATTACAACAATGAAATCCAAGAGAGCCACAAGCTACGAGGATTACCCATAATAAGTACAGCTGTAGATGACCAGCTGACGGCATGCATTTGTTCCTAAGAATCAGTAGTTTCTAAAGGAAACTTCACTTGTGCCAGTTCCAATTACTAAAGACAGTATGTGCACACTTCTGCAATCAAATTTTGAAAACTCAGAATGGACGCAGGACAAGGCCGTAATATGGCAATTCGACTCGTCGAGTCCTGTATGAGTAAAACATGAAAATTCTACTGCATATTCTGTTTCTTTAAATATCGTGGAAAGCTTCAAAATTCTACTCATTAAGATTTGGCACTCACATTGACTCCCATTAAAAACTGTGATCTAGGACAACTCCTGAGGTCTTAATTCCGAGCTTTTAAATTTAATCTGGCACATCTGCTTTTTCTTTGCAACAAATGGATCTAAAGATGGCTGCATGCAGATGGGCAGGGCATAGAGATTCTCAATACTTGGAGACATAAACAGGAGAAGAGCACAATGAAGGGGATGCAGAGGATAAATGCTGGAGCTTAGTATAGAAAAGGGTTATTTTGTGACTATACTAGTGATGCAACGCAATAGAAGAAAGTGAAGACATCACAAAAATAAAAGGGGACAGGAAAGGATACATCTAATGCAGATGAGAGGTGCTCATCACAGAATAGCCAGGACAATGGAAATGGCAGATGCATAATGGCAAAGTCTTACTAGAAATTAGTAATGAATTCTAAACTCCAAGCAATGTGGTTTTAATATACACAAGAAATTATGAGCACCGCAAATGTACCAAGACTATCCACAGTCACTTTACATCCAGAAAATCAAAAATAGAAAAACATTTCTTTATTCAAAACACAAAGATGTCATAAATGTAGACACGACAATAACAAGTACCAAACACGACAAAGGATGCGATACATTCTTATAGAATTAAAAAACCAATTGGAAAATTGAAATGATACCTACGAGAAGCATAATCTACATGGAAATACACAGCAACTAGAATGTCATCTGTAACCCTAGGTTGTGACATTCAGGCTTATAAGCTCACATATTGGTAAATTTGTATGGCAAAAGAAAAAGGAATGTCGGGCCTAAAACATTTACAATTATAACTTGGTTAAGTCATGTATAAAACATTGAAGTAGTCACCAAGGTTGTGTCCTCACATTACTGATCAGAAAATAGCTTTTGCAATGTAACTATCAGGCTTGAACCCACAGCTTGATTGAGACGCAACTATTAATGGTTTCATATAAGTGAAAAGCATGGAGATGAAATATTAGCAGACTAAAATGTAACAAGATAATCTGATTAGATAAACAACAAACAACACAATCTACAAAGTAGGAACAACTAAAAACTGCATTAGCACCCTTAAAGTATGTGAAAAATCTGAGAATAGTACAATTCTTTTCTATTAGCAAGAATGGAACAGGCTTGAACAAAAAGGTTCCGATGTGTAGTAGTATCCCATGCATTTCTCTTTTCGATACTAATATCCTTTGCATTCAAGAACCATGAGCAGGATACTTAGGATAGCAATGTTGTCAACCATTTTTAGTAACTGAATTGATCTCTAAAGAACATCATGATACAACTTGAAAGCAAGCAGGACCTTTAACAAACTAAGCTAAAGAGAAAATAGAAAATTCGCAGGAAATCTAAGAAGCTAGACCATGTAAAATAATTGGAATCAGGACAATATCACATGAATTGAATTAATATTCTTAAAGACCAGAAATTGTAAAAGTGAAACCCACTTGTACGAGAACAATCCGCTGCTTTGACCTCCGAGCATCTCGACGAGCAAGCCACCCACGTATGTAAGACTGAATGATAACTGCAGATCTAGTTATCAATTTGTGTTCCAAAACTCTCCTCCCCCACCTCTGCAACTTCACAATGGAATATAATAAAACTTGCATTTCAATATTTTGGTGGGAGCAGCTCTTCAAACCATCAGGGTTACAAATACAACCAGCACCAGCAGTTTCTACACATAAGCCAAGGTATTGACATTTAGGCATAAGCATGGGGCCTTGAACAAAAGACAATTGTATATTGAAATAAGCTTAATACACAAGTTCTGGAGAATTCATTTTAATAAATAAGTGTAAACTAGCAAGAAGACCCTAATGAAACTTATGACGAGTTGTCAAAAATCTAAAAATACCTAGAAACTTATCCCGAAGAATATGCCCCCTAACAAACCGTTGAATTTCGGTGACGGCAAATCTGTAGCAGTTAAATGCTTTCCTGTATTTAAAGCATCTGAACCAACTTTGTATCTGGATTGCAGCAGCCTTTTGAATTAGAAAGCTCTTCCTTATTGCAAAGCAACGCCAGCATCTCTGGATCTTGACTGCAGCAAGATGTTGAATGCATATGGAACTACGAGCTCTAGCCCTTCTCCAAGCATGTTGAATCCTAGCAGCTGCCTCTGATTGAAGCCTCCAAAGTTCTTTTTCCCTGATGATTGCTTGACTATCATGAAGCTGGGCAAGGACAAGGGAAAATTTAGACCTCTCCATGTAACCACGAATATGACACTGCAAAACTGTTACAGCGTCAACCTGCTCAGCAAAAGCTCTTGCTTCCATGAGTACCAATCTTTCCCTATGATGCTTTCGAGTAATCCAACTCCTCACTGCCCGTTGTATGAGCAGCACAGACCTTTTAATCCTGAGAAAATTCCTCCTCTCGGCCATTAAGGCAAAATAATGCTTGAAGACAGCAGCATTTCTTTCTCCTTCATTCCATATTACCAAATAGAATGAATAAGTCTTAGAATGAACATAAATCAAAAACATCTCATTCACAATAAACCATAAAAGAATTTAAAATCGATCTAGAATTTTACCAGCAATGAGGTCTTGAACATACTGGCTCCAGTTACTAAATAAATCCAGTCTCATTACTTTCAACCAAGCTCGAATAATATTCTGCAGTAAGACTATGATAGCCTTAATCTTCAGAAATTTTATCCGTTCAATTGAACCTCTGTAATGAGCTTGTATTACCAGTGCAGCATTTTCTGTAGATCAAAACATATAAGCATGACAGCAAGAAAGAATGAGCCAATGAATGCACATTGGAATCAACATTAACAACATTGTATATAAAGAATAAACGAAATTTTAGAACGGTCCACTAAATCAACACATGACATGCCCATCCACATAAATGGAAGAGGCACATGCAGTGAGAATCAAGTGGCCACAGTTGAAAACAGTACAAAGAAAGAGATTTATCAATAGCAACAATTGGGTGGAGAATGAAGCAAATAGTAGGCCAACAAAGAAATATCGAAGTATCAAAGTAGCAAAACCAACAGACATCACTTGTTGCAAGGGCATCAGCAATTAATAATGAGAAGACAACAAAAGAAGATGAGGATAAATCAATCATATCAAAGGAAACAAACTTACCCCTCTGACTTTCACTGAATTTCCTCTGAGATAACCAATGTCGCACACTTCTCTGTAAACAAGTGGCAGCTAATTTCACCTTAAGGTACTGCTTTCTTTCAGTTATTCCTCTCCACCATGCCTGAATAACCTTTGTGGCCACTGTAACTCCAAGGAGTCGTTAGTAAACTAGTAAAACGGAAGTGACACAAAGTGGAAATACAACAATAATGAAAAGCAAAGACTAAACCATCGCAGAAACTGCAGCAGCAACAATGCATGCAGCAAGAACAGCCAGATGATTTATACTGCCAGGGCCATAGCAAAAAACATAGTTCACATACTTAGGTGATGCTGAACTGGCATCCATTCAGATTAATTAGTGACTTGCATGGAACAAGTTCCAGAGTTATGAACTAGTTTCAATTGTGCTTGTACATAAAACGGAAAAGCATCCTGGCTTCCAGATCAATAAACAGAGCCAACATACAAGTCAACCAAGTCAAAATCATTGATACAGCAGATTACATTCAATAAAAGGGCCAAAGCAAGTCAATTCCGGCGAAGGCATCAAGCGAGTGCAAGGAGAAGAGGAAGCAGCTACAAGGCTAGAGTGTAAATTTTCAACCATCTATTATGGCCATATTTGTATTTTGGCCATCTTGGTGTCATATCACAGAAATAGTCTTAGTTACCTATGCGCAATCCTAAAAAGCTGTAACCATAAGCACCACACTCATATCAAAAAAGTCCCGGTATTTTAGGAATAAAGCAAGAACTAGCTCTTTTTTTGGGCAGCGATAAGGGTATTTTCAATGGCATTTTAACAATAATTGTGGTTCCAACAAATAAGTTTCTCCATGAATACTGGCTTGCCAAAGCTAGCACACATCACTCTCAACTAGGTTTGAGAGAAGTTTAATCACGTGGCTGACATTCTGTGCTCCCTTAAATGTGTAAAATATTCCATTGATCAAGTGAGGTATATAGGAAACAACCAAAACTAATATTTTACTTGTTAAAGAGAGAGGTATTCAAATTGAAGTTGACCCTTCAAATCAAGTTTATCAGAACCAAACCAACAAAGAAAAGAGTTTATAGTCACAACTGGCAAAAACATTGGATGGTCCAATTAGAAATATGATATTAAAACCATACAGGACCGGCCTGTACCAAAAGCACTGGTGCCAATACTATCCAGTCTAACCCATGGAATGGATGGTCCACTGAACCAGCGTTGCACCAGTGGACTGGCCTATCCAATATTGCACCAGGTGGTCCTAATAAAGCTTCTTTTTAAACTATAATTATATTTGGGATGGATATGAGGTTAAAATGGGAACTTTTAGAGAGAGAGAGCTACTTTAGTTGTTTTTCTCTCTATTTCAAAACCCCCATTTTTGTTGGCAAAAATCAGGAGTTGGGGAGGGTTCTGCCCATCGATTGATGCCAATTGAATTTAGAAAAGTAAACTAAAAGAAGTTTATTTGAAACTTTATTTAATTTTTCTTCTTTTAGAGGCATGGACATAATTTTTTTTATTTTTGTTGGTTGAATTGTGACTTAAGGCATGAGGCATAGAAGGGATATTTAATTTAGAGTTTTTAGGTAGTAAAGTTACTATTTTCATGGGGTGACTTGTTTCCCATAGTGTGACATTAGGATATGGCAAGAGGTATGGGATGTAGATATGGAAAGTGATTAGAGTTGGACATGAGATTCCTAACAAGGGAGAGATTTATGTGGGATAAGGTAACTCTTACTTTAGTAGGAGTTATGGATCTTATGAAGAGATTCATGGTAGTCTAGTTTTTGGGAGTTACATGATTTAGAGAGATGAGGGTGTAACGTCGTCTTAAGGAGACAACTACAATTTATAAGGGGCTTACGTGTTGAGGGGAGGGGGTGAGAGAGAGAGAGAGAAAGACGTGAAGGGGAGAGGAGAGAGTTATTTTTATTATTATTTTTAGTGTTTCATATTTGTATTTAAGAGAAGGAGTATGTTTGTAGAGGGACTTGATATTTTTTGTAAAGAGTTCGTTTTTATCAAAGAAAAAGGAGTTTCTTCCCCCCTTAGACCTTGATTTACAGCCATACTACTTTCTCCTTAGATCAAGATCAAAAGAAGGCCGAATTTAATTTCTGGGCCCCTTTCTCATCATTTGGTATAAGAGCGACAGTTAGTGACTACGATTGCAGGTCGTCTAAGTCGTGGTCGTGGGAATGTTGTGTTGTACCGAAGGAGTTACACAGTTGCGGCAAGAAAGAGATCTGCAGCAAGGTGCCCCAGACGAAGAGATTTCTACGTTGATGGATTTGAATCGCGAGGGTCTTGATGGAGATGGCCACGAAGAGGGGCCTAAAATTAGGACAAAGCAGGCTGATGAGGTGTCCGATCATCCAAATTTGCTTGATGCCCGACAACGTCAATGGGAGTGTGGATCTAATCAAGATTCGGTAGCCAACCACCCTGAGGTCGATATGACCAAACATAGGGGTAGGGATCGGGAGGAATTACGTGATCAGCATCGATGCATGGAGATACAAGCGTAGGGAGTCCGATTCAAGTATTAAAATTAATCTCTGAGAATTTTGTGGATAATATCTCCCCATAAGAGTTTTTTGACAGGTTGAGTACAGTTGAGCGCTTCTTTGATTGGAAAGAATTGTCCTATTCAAAGGAGGTCGAACTTGTGGCTCTTAAACTTAGGGGACTTGCATCAGTATGGTGGGAAGGATGGGTCTGAAAGGGCAAAAACAAATCATATCATTAGCCAAGATGAAAGCAAGGATGTGTGTGCAATTTCTCCCACTGAGCCATTCACAAACATTGCACCAACAGTTCCACAAGTTACATCAGGGTGCAAAATACTTTGAGAGTATACAGAGGAGTACTACCGCTTAGCCTTGCATAATGGGCTAGCAAAGATCGAGGATCAAAAAGGCGACGCCTTATGTTTCAGAGCTACAGAGTTCAATCCAAGATGAGCTCGCCCTACATCATATGCCTCAGTTGGAGGCAGCCAATCAAGCTGCCTTGAAGGTGGAGGAATGATAAAGAATGGGGGCAGCTACACGTCGACCCACACTCGAGTGGGATCATCACAAACTAAGAGGATGGTGCTCCAACCCAGGGAGTCCCTGCAACAAAAGATGGCCCAGCTGCCAATAACCGAGCAGGAACCAAAGCCCAAGAGGCTGCTGGTCCAAGGTGTTTTAGGTGCAATGAGGTGGGGCACCAAGCTGCAGTGTGCCCATTGAATGCAGACCAACGTCACACCAATTTGGTAGAGCCCGATCATTGCACTGAACAAGGAGAAGACCACGAGGAACGCCTAGTGATTGAGGCTGAAAATGAAGCTGATTTTGATAATCAAACCAATGAAGTGATGGCTGATCAAGGAGATACCTTGCTGGTTAGACGTGCTCTCTCATTGCCACTGCACCTCAAGAAGAGCATTGGCAAAGGACTAACATATTTCGCACCCGATGTACGTGTAATGACAAGGTTTGCAACATCATCATCGACAGTGGGAGTTGCAAGAAGACATAGTAGATAAGTTGCATCTCAAAGTCAGAAAGCATCCACATCCTTACAAGGTTGAATGGTCCAAAGGGTAGGGCTAAGGTATGCTTAATTAAATTTTCTATTGGTAGTTTCAATAAGGATGATGTTTGGTATGATGCTTGGTATATTTGAATTTAGTAGAACCAGAAAAGAAGGAAAATGAGCCTTGTTTTATAGAAATATCTTCATCAAGTTTTTCTAGAAGTGGTGATCCGGCTTGGAAATATGGTCATACCTTGAATCCAAATAACAAAAATTGTATTAGGTATAATTATTGTGGAAAAGATACTAATGGGGGTATTTACTGGTTCAAGAAACACCCTGTCAGTATTAAGAGGGATGTTGCCCCATGTAAAAATGTTCCTGAAGCTACCATGAAGGAGATTATACAATATTTGAGTTCAAGGAAGCGCAAAAAGAAAGAAAAAAAGAGGCATCAGGTAGAGCAGCCAAGACTTTTACGGCCTCATCTACATAGAGTAAAAGAGAAATAGAAAAAGAAAAGGAAGAGGTAGATTCAAGAGAAACAGAGGGGGACGAGTGTTATGTTGAAGAGGGAGATGACTCTGAAGATGATGGCCTCGAATCTGATGCATATGATGAGGCTTACCCTATTCCTAATGATGATGATGATTGAAGAATGAAGACGACGGACTCTTGGTGTTGACTATTGAGTCTTAGACTATATATTTTTTCCTTATTTTTTAGTTTCTGGTTTCTATCATCTTACTCTTGTGTGTATGCTTGTCTAGTTGTATAGTTTTAGCATTGTATGGAAGACTATCTAAATTCTCCTCATTCATGGAAATATGGATTGTGGATTCTGTGTTGTATAGTTATACTATTAGACTTAGACACGTAGATTACAGACATTTTTCTTTCTACTAGGCCGCCCAGGTTGTGAGCCCGTCTAGGCGCTAGGCAGCCAGACCCCCCTGGTCACCTAGGTGCCGCCTAGAGTTTTTTGAAATAAAGAGTATATATTTATCAAAGGAGTTTCTTCTCCCTTTGGGCTTGATCTACAGCCATACTACTTTTTCCATAGTTGTTGAATTTTTCTTGCTTCAAGATCACAAGAATGCCGGATTTGATTTTTGAGCTCCTTTCGCATCATCAATCCACACTATTTCAAGCATTAACATACATCCTTTTCTTTATTTGTTTGTTTCACATAATGAAAAATAGAAAAGAATGCATATTTTTAGGTTTTTGCAAGAGAGACTTTTTCAAATCATTGCAATCGATTTTTTCATGTACAAAATTTAATGCTTTTTTTCGCTTTAATAAAGTTCATTGTAGTTGGTGTCGCTTCATCTGTAGTTTAAACTTTAAACTGCAAATGTTTAAAATTTTTGTATATAACTATTAAGTTGTTTGCGGTTTTTTATTTTCATTTGCTTCTGTTATTTTTTTGTGGTTCTTTAAATCTTCAACATTTCAATGGAATTATGGAGAGAGTAGAAGGACAATTTTTTGCAATTTTTCCTTATTATCCTAATTTTCATATTGCATGTTAGCTTTATTCATTTCACTTATCTGACTAGTGAATGGGTCCAATTTGACTAGACCAAGGCCCTCATCAGTTAGGCTCGTCTCAACAACATTGTATAAGATAGAGTTTCTAAAAATTAAATAAATGTAGAAAATTTAAAGAATGTTTAACCTTGTTTATTCTGTCCAACCAGCAAAAATGGCCCATCCGCATTGCGAAATCTAGGCAAAATTTGATTGTGTTTTAGACCAATTATGTTTTCGGTTTGAGCTAGACTGGCCAAGGTACCTATTGATGATCTAACCAGCCAGCCTGGTTTTGATAACTATGCTTCAAAATGGTTATGCGACCAATGCATCCAACTAATATGAAGTTGTCACTTTAAAAATATTTCCAAATGTTACTTTGCGGATATGTGATCATAACAAACACAATGTGAAATAAAACTAATACAATATCTTCTTTACAAGGCATTCAACAGTCAAAAACAAAAATCCTGAAAAGTAATAATTATTTTAAATTCAATCTTTAAGCCAAAAATACCTCAAATTTCCAAAATATGAAAAACTTTTAGAGTGCAAAAAATGAGGGTTGCAATTTTTAAACCCTAACAATAAATTGGAGAGTTAAAATTACCTTGTGTTCAATGTTTTTCCCCAAGAGTTCTAGCCAAAATGACAAAAAAGAAAAAACAAGAAAACCATACATACATACATGCATACATATACATTTATAGAATTTCAAAACCTAACATAATCAAACGGAATAAAGTTAGCATCACTTTGTCCCGAAAAGCAGAGGACCAAAGAAGGGGCCAAAACGTTTGTGGGCCTGTTGAGGTTGTCTTACGAGTGGAAGATCAGTGAGTTGTTCCTGACAAGATTGCTGAATAGATTTTTGGTAGGGATGGCAATAAACTAGACCTGCCCTGATCCTATCTCTGCCCTTGTCCCCATAGGGTTGGCCCAAGCACAGCCTGGCACAGCCCCCATAGGAGCGGCCCAGCCCAGCCCAAACTGGCTCGGACTAGGCCAGAGTCCCTAGCCCAAGCTTGGCCTTGGACCTATACCCATCAAGGCCATGCCAATCCAAATACAATTAAATAAAATAATAATATAATGACAAAAGGACAGGGCGAGCACTATCATGCCTAAAGCCCGGGCCTACCCCTCGTGCCACATTTTGTGGCCAAGGCCCTAGTTTCTTGGTGCCTGGCCACCCAATCCATTGCCAGACCTAATTTTGTGGACTGGACGACTAGAAATACGGGATTTGATCCTAATATGCGGGGGATCTCGATATAAACTAAATCAAAACTGTATGATACATGATTGAGCTCAATCTAGTTAAAATTGAGGCCCCAAGAGCACTTAATGGGTATATTGTAACGTAGCATATACTACTATACCACATTGTTGTACAATGATATCTTGCTACATTACACTACACTAGTGTTATATATAATATATTCGACAACACTAAACTATATGCTACAATGTTTCAATTAAATATATACAGCTACAATACATATCATACATATCATAGTATGTATAATATATACTAACATACTATACCACACTACTTGACTATGCTATACTACAGTAATATACCACACTTCTATATGGCTACTTCATTGCTATAAAATATTATAATGATGGGGATCTGGATCCCTTATAATTCAACATCTCGATCCATACAAGGAATGATTCAGGTTTCATAGTTTAAAAGTCATGGAGGGGTGAGATTCTCTTCCCTAAAGTTTATGGTCGAGATTTCGGAGCAAAATCAACCCCTTGGTTGAAAGATCCTGACAAGTATACTTCAAACTCAAAATAACTTGATAGAAAATAGCCATCCCTAGTTTCATACGCTCAAAAAATGGATGTTTCATATGATGTGACCAAAAAGAGCATATGAATTGACCAAAAAGAGAGAAGAAAACCTAAGGCACTACTCCAACAAACTGTAATAAGAGGATCGCATACCCTTTTACATGAGTACACCACACAAATTCATTTTGTAGTTAAAACATATCATCATATAGGACAATAAAAATTTATTCCCAACATGTCATATACAACTCTTCCCCATCCAAAGACAGGTACTTAAACTCAAAAGGCATATTTAAATGAATTCAATAGATAGCATTAGAAAGAAATGTGAAAGGCAAACCTTCAAGATCTTTATTGTCTATCATTTTCATATTCCTGGATGCAACAACATTTGGGTAATGCTCTGCTAGACTCAAATCATGGCAAAACATTTCATCACCGCTTGTACAACCCATTTGATAAATAGCTGTTGTAAACGTAGCATTTGAGCAACGAGATTTCCTTCCCACAAGCCACCGCACTTCTAGCTGATTCTAAAAAAAAACAATGGCCAAAAAAAAAAAGGTTTTCCAGAATTAGTAATCCACATTTTAAATTTGAATTTATAAATATACATTTCAATTTTGAATTTATAAAATGTTAAACTTACCAAATCATTATTTCCAATAACTCTGGATGAGAGGAATGCAACAAGAACAACCACACTATGTTCAGCTTGATGCTCCAATAGATCAGTTGAGTGAAAAACCTGTCATTTGCTTGCAAATCAATATCCCATATAAGAATGTAGAAAATAGATGGGGGCAGGAAAAGACATTTACTTGTGGGAAGTTTCCCAACACATGGGTTATTGCTTGAATTAAATCAAAGTTTTGAAGCACAGAATCACCACTGGGATCATCTGGAAACAACAAGTTTCCACCATCCTCTTTAGCCTCCTAGAACAAACCAAAAAGAAAATATTACAGCATTTCACATCCGAACAGTTACGATGAAATATGGATGACTTACACTACCAGGTAATGTTTACCTTTGTATAAGAATGGCCATGGCACTCTTTCTTAAAATAGTAGTCAACCAAGCATTGCAATGGCTTCCCATCAATCAATGAAGAAAATCCATCAACATTCACACAATATTTTCCGCAAATGGCCTGTTAAAGACAATATCATAAAACCTCTTTGCATATCATCTCAATCCCAGATTTCAAAACTCTCGAAAAGAATATACAAAGGTGGCTAAAAATCCAGACCATGAGGAAAAAGCATTACAATGAAGAAGCTATAGGAAAGCCAAGCATACTAATTTGCAGCACATCATTGTTGCTAAACTAATATTACCATGCCAGAGGTCAAGCAAATCACAAGTTATCTCTACCAAAAGTATTTCCTCACATAGATATACGCTTGGAATTTGTGACCAATGAGATGCAAATAACACAGAAATAATTGGTACAATTTTTTTTACTTGTTTCAGAAAACATGATGTGAAAAGACTGATGACCTTACTAACCATCTCAGGAAAGGATAATGCAAATGTAATGGCATTTTGCTAAATAATGTGATGCCATTGCAAAAGCAATCTTTTCTAGAAAATACCATTCTACTTGCATGTCTCCAAGGATTCTGTAATGGTCAATTGTAATACTTCACAGGTGCCCCATCCCTTTTCAAATAGACAAATGAAATGTGCTCCCTCTATTAGTAAGGCATTTTTAAGGAATAAAGCATGCATAAATTGGCAGATTCACCGTAAGGGTAGAACATCAAATCCAAGTCCAGACACAAGACAATACTACATTCAATACCAAGTAAGAGAGTGTGACCTGACAAATAATATGAAATTAGTCCATTCTCTCCTATATTTCACCATGAAGGAAGTTATAATTTGCAATGAAAGAGTTCATAAATGAAAAAGGGTGTTATTAAAGTAAATAAATGGATGAATGAAATTAATTTTCTCCAACTAATAAACAGACTAAGGCAATAAAAGACTGGAAGATCCAAAGCTTGTATGGCCTAATCATGACAGTTATGTGAGCATGTTCTCATCCACCTTATAGTGGGTTTGTTATGTGGGCCTGTGCTCATGCACCTTACAGTGGGCCTGTGCTTGTTCACCTTATGTAGGCCTACGCTCATACACATTATAGTGGGTTTGCTGGAAGCTCAAAGCAACAGTATAGGAAGCAATAAACTATTCAAAGAGAATACCAAAAGCAAACAGAACAAGTAGTGTCACATATATGGCAATCAAAAAGAGAAATCCAATAATCAGAGGTTTAGAATGGCCAATGTCGAACAAGGAATTCCTCATAGCAGAACTAAATTTGCCGTAGCAATTAATCTCCAAACAAAAGAAAAGAAACAAAAAGAAGGCCGTCATACACTCATACATAAATCAACCACACTATTGAATATTGGAATATATTGTTTTGTTAGACCCTTATACGCAGAAGGCAATGCGCAAAAGTTATCTTCTTTTTCTTTTCTATGGTTAACATGCCCAAAACTTTATTATTCAAATTATAGATATCACAGAAAGTATGCTTCAAAATGAACCAAAAGACAGCAGGCAACAGCACAAGACCATAGAGAGTTGCCTAATTAATTGATATACCTGAATCCATTTTAGAAGCAAATCCAACATTGTTTTGGAGTTTGTCTCAGAGAGTTCCTGGAAGACACATAAATGATTAAATGCGAAAAACAAACTGCAATCTTTTTTGGAATGTATAAACAACTAATATCACCAAGTATCAAAGGTCGATAATCATCATAAAGCAAATGACGATAATTCAAAAATAATAATCATAGAAACAAAGAAAAAATTAAGAATTTTAGCCATTTATTTGAGGTCATTCATTAAGGTTAAAATTTCAAATTAAGAAAGACAAGAACCTTAGAAATTCATGTCAAAGTATTGGCTATACCTTAAATGCATTATGAAATACCTGAGTCACATTTTATCTTTCCTCATTATTTTTTAAAATGCATAGTTTCAAAAAGCGTTAGGCGGGTCCTGGGCGGCCTAGGGGGTCCAGGCCGCCCAGCTCCTAGGCGGGGACCTAGAACCTGAGCAGCCCAATTGAATCCAAATAAGGATTCTGGCAATCTGCAGTTATGTCAGTATCAGTTATATGTATTACAGTACATGATTCAAATTATACTACATATTATTTAGCATTTAGCACGCACTTCATAAGCATAACCACAATCCATAAGTCGGTTCATACTCCTTATCCAATTAAAACTTAAAATTTTCCAACCAACCAAATTATCAAACCAAGTTATCAAATAGTATAACACCAGTACTGCAGTACACCACCATGAGAAAGAAAACAAAATTGAATTATGAAACTATGAAAGAAATACTTAAAGACTCAAAAGAATCTTCAATAGTTCAATAATCAATACACAATAGTTCAATCAAAGTTCAAACTTCAAAGTTTAATAATTATTCAACAATCATCATTCATTCATCATCAGAAAATCTAGGGTCAACTGCATTGGCATCATATGCATCGAAGTCGACGGAGTCATCACTCTCCTCAACATATTGGTCGTCCCTGTCCTCCTCCGTCTCTTCTGAATCGGCCTCTTCTTCCTCCATCCTTGTTCTCTGTGCAGAAGATCTAGGGCCCTAAGAAGGTCAGCTGATGTCCCTGAAGCATCCATGACCATGTCCCATGTCAACCTTCATTGCCCTCGACCTCATCATCATCAACTAACTACTCCATAGCATGGTCCATATTTTTTTATCTGATGGGGTCTCTCTTATCTCTCTTAGCAAACCTGTCTTTCAAGAATCGATTGTACTTGACATATACTATATCATTAAGCCTCTTTGATTCAAGCATGTTCCTTTTTTTTGTATGAATCTAACAAAATCAAATGAAACTAATTAAAATCTAATATTTATGGTTCATGTATTATTTATAAAATTATACAAATTATCCTTACAGCCTTACCCCTTCAAAAGTACTCCAATTGCGCGTACAACCGAATGAAGAAGTGGTTAGGATTAAGATACAAATGGCCAACTTTTGTAAATTTGGAGAACTACAACCATGTTGGTTCCACCAATGGGCTGTAAAGATATAGAAAAAAATCATAAATAAATAATAGAATTACTTGATTACTTGAACTTGATAACGATGAACTTAAGAATATTATTAATACCTGGTCCAGTTTTGGTCCTTTGCCTCATTGCCATTGGAGTCCCAAAAGACTTTAATGAGCAATAGTAATTTATCAGCTCATCAGCGCATATAATATCCCGCATTTCAAGATCAGGGACTACCACCTCTACATACTCATTAAATCCATTCATAATTGTATCATTTGTTTGTATATCCTTGTCAAAATAAAACAAAGCTGGGTTCAAAAAATAACCAGCTGCATGCAATGGCCGATGTAGCTGCCTATCCCACTTCTCATCAATAATCTCCCAAACAGGCTTGTAGTGGGTTTCTTCATCATTGAAATTTTGGGCTATCTCTCTTTTGCATTTCTCAATAGCATCATATATGCAGCCCATAGAAGGCTTGTCACTATCAACCATGCGAAGGACTTTGACAAGAGGAAAAATACCTTAAGAGCGCCCTTCACCCCACGTCAAAAAGCCTTAAAAAGGATAATATCTCTCACCTTCTTCTTAACCTGATCCTCAGACCATTTGCATGCTCTCCACTCATCTGAGATAAACATTTGCTTCAATTGCACTCTCCTAGAATATATGTTATCTAGACATAAGTACCAGGTCGCAAATCTCGTGACCCCATGCCTCACAATCTTTCTTCTTTGTAAAGGTACGCATCATGTTGAGGGTGAGATGGTGGCTATTAATATAAATTATATCTAACTTGGCCTTCTTCACTGCACCTGATATCGCAGTTAAACCGCCAAGAGCCTCAAGCATGAGGTCTATACAATGTACTACACATGGTGTCCAAAGATTCTAGGATAAGCTATGCGCAACAAATTAGATACAGC